TCATCTAAAGTCTTCTGTACTTTGAAAGGAAGAGTCAACATCAACTATGTCTTAAAAGGAGATTAACACGTATATGCTGGTTGGTGTTAACAATTCGCTTTAGCGCTAAAACATGAACATTGTTTTATCTAAAGAGTAGATCTCTGTCTGCAGAACAAGTCAGAAATCTGAATTGAAAAATCGCTGTAATTCTGATATGGAAAGGAATGGAGACACTTGCTTTGTTTGTGTGAATTAGCTGAGATCTGCTACAGTAAATGCAAATACTTTAATTTCAATAGGGCAGCTAAATCACATTAGAAGGTCAAATGATAAAGATGACTGAACTCTGCATATTTTACTGTAAATCCTATTATCTAAATACAAATTACAATGTACTCTCAAAATTATTTTATTAGGTATAATTTTAGTTTGCCAAATTTGAAAACACCTGGGACTTGGCCAGTCCTTAAATTTATATATTTTGTCATCTTTTTGGTAAAATGGCCCTGTAATATACAGGGATGCATCCAAACGGAGACACACCCACACCCACACCCCACACCCCACACACACACTTTTGTGGATAAGATTTTGTTTATTTGGTAGGAGGTTTTGTATTGTTTGGTGACAATTGCAAGTAGGTATTTTTAATCACAGGAAATTTAGTGAGTACAATTCCTTAAAGAGAAAAAACACGGAAACTTTCCCTTTAGCTGAATAATCCTCCCATCGTCCCTGTAGCTTGACTTGTGGAGGTCACAAGGGCATCTTTTTACAGTGTGAGGTTAGCACATTCTCTCTAAATAAACAGCTGCCTTTCCTGCTAGATATTCATAACTAGAGCTCTGGCTACTTATTCCATAAAGACCATTTCCCAAACCATGTATAATAACAGCAACTGTTGTTATACATTATTTTAAAAGATCTTGGGGTCTTTCCTTCCATAAGATGTTTTTAAAATAATCATTTTTCTATCCAAGAATGGATATCTCAAAAAATTGAAATAGATTTCTAGAAACTTACCCTAAGAGTAATCTTCTTTTTAAGTTTTTAGTAACATTATAAAGCAGAATGTGGCTTCCTAATGGTAAGATGTCAGGGACAGACAAGCTACCAACTCTGAATTCAAGGAGCACTAAGGACCGCTCCTTCTTTCATGTAACAACTGTGATGATGGACCGGGCGCTGTGCTGGGTCCCAGGAGCACAAAGACATAAAAGCTGGTCTCGGCCCTTAAGAGGCTGGAGGTCCAGAAAAGCAACTGAAAACAAAGAACCTGTGATGGGCAGAGCCTCAGAGGTGCCCTGAGGAGGAAGAGGATGACGTTTAACAAGACAGCCTCAAGCAGTTCGCCTCATAATTTAAATAACATTTTTTAAAAGAGCCACAGGATGAATGGACAATGCAGGTTTTCCACAGTTGTTTATTTAAGAGCAGTTCTTAGCTTTATAGAAAAGTTAAGCAGAAAATACAGAGCTCCCATATAACCCGCCCCCCACCGCACATCCATGCTTTCCCGTTGCTACCTCCTGTTAATGAGATACATTTGTTACAACTGATGAACCGATATGGCTACATTATTTTAAACTAAAGCCCCTAGTTTATATCTGTGTACCTTCCTGTGGATTTTGACACATGCATGGCGCAGATCCTCCATTACCGTGTCCTACAGAATAGTCCTACTGTCCTAAAAACCTCCTGTGCTGTCCCTGCCCATCCCTCCCTCCCTCCCTCCTCCCCTCATGCCTCCGGCAACCGCTGCTCTTTTCTGCCTCCACAGCTTTGCCTTCCCAGAACGCCACGTCGTCGGCATACACAGTACGCAGCCTTTTCAGGATGGCACGGCTACGCCCTTTGCTTCCAGTGTCTTTCCTTTTCAGCTCACCCAGTCATGCTAACAAAAGGGCTCTTGCCACGATCATCGGTGATACCAGCCGCCCTGATTCAGGCCTCAGTGTGTTGACCTCTGAGCAGCATCTGACACGAGGGTCGCTGCCTTCCCAGGACTCCCCACTTTCATAGTCTCCCCTCCACCAGACCACCTGTTCCCTCATTTTCCTTTGACAGTTTCTCCTTAGCTACTCAGCTTAGAATTCCAGCGATGTGTTGGTGACCTCTGTGCGTAGCCCCCATGAACTCTGGGCCCCTGGGCCATGCCCAGCATCCGGTGCCACGCCACAGCTCTACCTTAATGTCCTGCGGTCACCGCTCACGTCACATTGCAGACGGATTCTATCTACCACACCCTCCCCGCGCCCCACCCCGCGCATCCCCACGCCACACCCATCTCTGTGAACTCTAATCCGTCCTTCCAGTCTCTGCTACAAAATATTGGTCTTAACATTTTAGAAACATTTTCTCTCGTATTCTACGTCCGATCTGTTAGCAAGTCTGGATTAGCTCTGCCATCATAAAAGTGCTAGGCGACATCCTCTCTCCTTCAAATTCTACCACCCAGGCCCAAACCACCATCTCCCGTCTAGGTCACCCACACGCTTTCGACGTGGAAATATAGGCGTATTTTCCTAAAGTGGAATATTGGGTTTTTCTCAAGGGTTATAATGGCGACCTAAGCTGGGCAAAAGGAAAACTGCTGAAAAGAAGAATATAAAGACTTTTAAAATGCGATAAAAGAGGGAGGAAGGCCGTGGTGCCTCAAATCCTCTGGGATGGTTTTGTTCAGATCCAGACCTGAAAGGAGACAGTTAAGGGAAGTGGCCGTGGTTTGGAGGTGATTTCAAGCATCCACGTGTGCCCTGCAGGCCTGGGAAGAGGAGAGGGTGTGCCCTCAGGCAGGTCCGAATTTTAATGCTGGTCATGTGATTTTCAACTACATTTCTTAGCTTCTCTGCAACCCCTCTTATTAAATCTATAAAATGAGAAAGACAAATATTGACCTTGCAGATAAGGGTTGGAAAGAACATAGGACTATTCAGTGAGCGGGAAGCTCTTCAGCGAAAACCCAGCATTTATTAAGCTCCTACTGTGTGCTGCCTCTGGGATTCTGTGGGCTTTAACCCTTGGCTGACTTTGGAGGGAGGCGCACTGTATTCAGAAAGGTGACCAAGGGGAGCCTCAAAGGACCTCTTCTCCCTGCCTCCCTCTGCCAGGCAGGAGTTCTTCTCGGTTAATGGGCACCTTTTAGAAAGATGCGGTGGCCTTTGGAGAGGCACGGGGGCTTCACACACTGGCGAGGTCAGGTCCCTGCGCAGAGAGAGCGGCTGGACCCCTGGCCGTGGCCGGGGAGGCGGGTGCGTGGGACTCGCTGAGGGGCCCTGCGGGCCGGGAAGGCGGGGGGCACGGAGCAAACGGGCCCTCATTTGCACTAGACCTTCAGAGGGGACCACTCTGTCCCCCGACAGCCTCTGAGGACGACCCCTGAGGCCTGAGCCCAGGATTTGTGCGGAAGGCAGGTTCCTCCCCATCCCGGCCTCCCCGGGTCAGGGTGACGAGCCTTCCGTCCACGCCACGCACCGTCAGCCCGGAAAGGCGACGGCAGGGGTGTGTGCGGGACTCCTGCGCCCTCCACCCCGTCGGGACTCTCCAGAAAACTCTGCGGGGCTTCTTCCGTCC